GAGAGAGAGAGAGAGAGAGAGAGAGAGAGAGAGAGAGAGAGAGAGAGAGAGAGAGAGAGAGAGAGAGAGAGAGCAGACTTTTGACTCCCTGTGATTGTCATTATTAGCCTCTGTACCGAGTTCAAAAGGATGCTTTCCTTCACGCACTCCGGGTGCACGGACACACAGCGCAGACACCTACACGGACTCCTTAACAGGCATAGTCGATACAGTAGATAAATGTGTATAGGTGACGGCACTACGCGCACGGGTGCACAGGCACACAGGGCACACACCTACACAGGTGCGTATGGCTGGATTCGCCTATAGGTTAGTTAGGGTGGGAAGGAGGGGAAGAGAGGGAGGGGAAGGGACAGGAGAGAGGGAGGGGAAAGGGAAAGGAGGTGAGGGAGGGAATAGGGAGATTTACTTCGGTGCTGTCGCGAATCCGAGGAGCAATTTGCCTTTTTATCCTGTCATAACAATTATTCGATGACCGGAGGGTTCTTGAACGGATTGAGGCTAATTAATGCGTTCGTTCTCGAACGGGATTGGATGCTTTTGTACATTATCGCTGTGGACAGGCTATATTCTGCGCTAGAGTGTGCTCAATATCTGGGTGGATGCTTTCAGATCGTTTGTAAGGAGTAGTAGGGGTGGTGGGAGTGAAATCACATGCGCCCAGTCGGCAGGGCTTAGTGGGAGTGGAATCACGTGCGCCCAGTCGGCATATAGGATCACGATAAGAATGTTTGATTCACGCCTATAAGAGTATTTGGACAGTTTCGGAATATCATGTAATGTGTTTTTGCCAACCTTGTGGCTCTACTACGGTAGAGAAAATGGTGGGCAGTGAAAAGTTCCAGGTTGATTTACTGTAGGAGGATCCGAGGGCAATGGGTCTTGAGTGCAGGCGGGAAGACGATGAATGTTGTTCCACGGCAGATTCGAATTCGAATTGGAGTCGAACAGGCAGCCGATGCATAGCTGATTGACTGGAACGGAGTCCAATTAGTGGACAGAGCAAAGGGAGGCCGCAATTGAACAGATGTTGTCGATCCGGGTGGTGAGCCAGGATTAATGGAAGGTGTCTGTGGGGGGAAACGACAGTAGGAAAAGGCAAGGCCAATGGGCCTCTGGCTCAGATGGTGGATGGATAGGTGGGGCCGCAAGGCTGGCACGTGAGAAGCCTCCTTATGAGGGCCAGGTGTGCACTTGGTCGAAATGCGCAGCTCTGGCGACTGCTTTTATCGCTATTGTCCTTCCTTTTCGTCTTCCGAAATCGTGTTGGGTCTACAGTTGGACGGTCCGTGGCAACGTCAGCGGACAGGCTCTCCTCTTGTCGTATCGGTTGGAATAATCAACGTATGGGGGAGCACTTGTTCTGCCCTAATTTGTGCGTCTTGGTTTATATCGCATTCCGCATGGGGCTATTGCCTTCAGTAACGTTGCTATGACCATCTCCATCTCCATCGCCATCTCCATCGCCATCTCCATGACCATCTCCATGATCATCTCCTCTGCATTCCCATGCGCCAAAGCCATCCTCATGGCCATTTTCATGGCCATCTCTATCGCCATCCGTCGCCATCTCCATGACCATCTGCCTCGCCATCTCCATGACCTTCTTCACCGTCACGTCCATGGCTATCTCCATGGTCATTTTCCACGGCCATCTCCCGCGCCATCTCCGTCGCCATCTCCGTGGCCTTCTCCACCGTCATCTCCATGGCCAGCTCAATGGCCATGTCGATCGCTATCACTGTGGTCAATCCATTGCCATTTTCATCACCATCTCCATCGCCATCTCGCCCTTCCGGGCAAAGAAGAAAACTTCGCTGCATTTCATCAGTAAAACTTCTGGACGAAATTTCACGTTGTCCTGATCGACATACAAAGGTTGCCAAGATTTTGAGCGAAAAAGTAAATAGGAAAAAATTGTCAAATTTAATATCCCACGGCAAGATTTTGAGCAAAAAACTCTATAAGAAAAGAAACGAAACATTTATTCCCCACGGCCATCTCCATGGCTATCTTGATGGCCATCTCTTTCACTTTCTCTTCTTTCATTCGTATCGTGCATGCCAGCGCGACTTAGTAGTATCCTGAGGAAATCTCTCCCTCAGTTGTCATTTCCTTTCAATCTCCAGTCTGCCCCATTTGTTTCCCATCCCTCATTTCGGTAATTGCGGACGAGGAAGAGCGGGTAAGGGATACGCTGGTCTTCACCATTTGTTTCCTATCCCTCGGTTCTTTGGACGTTGCAACGAATGTGATTAGCTTGGAAATTGACGGATCCGCCGTTTGTTTCCCTATTTGTTTCCCATCTCTTCGTTTTGTAAATGTACGATGGCCGCCAATTTAGTGTAGCTTGTCGCAGACGGAAAAGGGTTGTTAGTGGTCTGCAATGAAACACGTCGTACGAATAATGTCGAGTTTTTTTTTTTGTGCAAAGGTGGGGAGTGCGCACGGGTTGCTTGGGCTTTCGTGGCCTCTCTGCTATCCCCCTTTGTATCATTTGAGTGCATCATATCCCTTTTGTATACGGTCACTATGAAGGCGGGATTGGTCAAATATCTTTCTGATGGGGAAGATTTCCAATTGTGAGGTGGGCTGCTGCTGCTGCTGCTGCGGATCTAATTGCGGTCCGCCTCCGTTTCTTTCGTTTAGGCGCTTTATTTTTATTTTTATTTTTAAGGTCCGATGGACCACGGATCAGATATTAAACTGAGCAGAACAGATACTACACTTGATCTTAGCCAAAAGGCCGAGAAAGGTATTTTAGGCGCTTTTTAATGGAATGCTTCTTCCTCTACACTCCGTCCCGCCAGTTCTGCACCACTTTTCAGAGCAAACAAAGGGATCGACAAGAAATGATTATTCATCATTGCATGAATGATGTTATGGTTGTGGAAGTCATGGTTTCCTGCCCGCCAGTTCTGCACGCTTGTTCCTTAATGGGATGCTTCTTCCTCTAAACTCCGTCCCGCCAGTTCTGCACGCTTGTTCCTTAATTCCTCACGGGCAGAAGAGGGAGTGTGGAGATATTTCGGTTTTGCTAAAGTCGTGTCAGTGGGGCATGGCAGTCCGGACATCTTGTGCGCCCAAGGGGGAGTGGACCTTAGCTGTCGGGACTGCTTACGGGGCAGTGGAGCTGATTACGGATATGTTGCCATGAGCTGTCTAATGGATCCGCTGATATGCGTTTTTGGGGTGGGTGTGAGGGGGACGGGTGAAAGTGTGCGAGGGAATGGGGGGGGTTGGACATGGTAATGCTTCTTTTTTTTTTTTGACTTGCTGAGTTTGTAGAAGGGAACGTTCAACCGAAAAAAATATTGAGAGTAGGTGAAAAGGTGAAGGAGCAGTGATGGCAACAGGAGAGGGGCTGGTTGGAATTCTGGAATTAGAAGATGCTAAGGGGGGTGATAACTTGGTTTAAAAAAATTCCGATTGTTTCGACAAGGGTTCGGCCTCAGACAAGAAGAGAACATTTTGGCGTGGTGGGGGGATAGGGAGAGGAGCTTGGGTGAGTCTATAGTCTATATATTCGTTGCCGACAACTGACGAGCGGGGATCGTCTTTGTTCCCCCCTTCAGTTTGCACTTATACCCCCGCTGGTGTGGGATCGTCTTTGTTACCCCCTTCAGTTTGCACTTATACCCCCGCTGGTGTGTTATTGATTTAGGAAGTCTCCCCTCTTTTTCCCTCCCCTATCTGAGGCTGGATGTGTCTATGGGACACGCTGCAATTCAGATTATACGGATTTAGCGGCCACGTTCAGGTGTGTATCATCCGGCCAAAAGTTGACGAACCAGCGGACTGCTAGCAGCTAACATGGTTTTCTTTCCTAACAAACTAATTAGGTTTGCTAACAAACTAATTAGAAGAAGAAGCAATCGACGAGGCACGTTCAGGAGTGGACCTTAGCGATCGACGAACCGCCAGTGCGAAAGATGAACAATTCGGAAGGTGACCAAGTATGCATTCTTCTTACATGGATACGGTGGTGGAGGGGCAACGAGGCAGGAGCCGCGAGGCTTTGTGCAGGGATTGTCCCCTGAGGAGGAGGATCGGAGAGCAGTGGGTCGAATCGCCTCGAAGGAAGGTGGATGATCATCACAGCAAGAAGATGGATGATCATCACAGGAAGAAGATGGATGATCATCAAAGGAAGAAAATCGAAGATGGATCATCATCAAAGGAAGAAGATCGAAGATGGATCATCATCATCAAAGGAAGAAATTGGACGATCAAAGGAAGGAAGAAGAGGGATCATCGTCAAAGGAAGAAAATGCATGATCAATGTAAGGAAGAAGATTCGATCATCGTCAAAGGAAGAACATGGATGATAGCAGCAAGAGGGCTGATAACAACACAGTATGCATCTTCTTCGCGGGAGGATAAGCCGCGAAGTAAATTGCATGCTTGTAATAGAATAGAACAAAGTAGACGATGAGCAATGGCCAAATCTTCCTTCCCATACACGAAGTCGTTAAACAAAAACATTGCATCTCCACGTGTCCCATACACGAAGTCGTTAAACAAAAACATTGCATCTCCACGTGTCACAACGTACTCAGAAAAACGCGCCATTCCCCAGCTGAAGATCGTGCACACCTCTGCATGAGCGCGTTACTCTGCGATCATTGCACACGTTAATGTAATGAATATGGATGGAAACATGTACGCAAGCCAGTTTTTGGCCTCTGTTGGTCTTGTTAGTTTCGCCTTGCACCTGAGGCGTGAAAATTTTTCCGCTCTTCCGATATTGTTTTCCTTCTTTCATCGTTGTTGCTCATGCCCTCCGTTTTTCACAGTCGTTTTGCATGTGCGCTGTTCATCTGAAGCTATTCGCAGTGGGCACTTCCTTCTCCATTCCTGTTTCGTTAGGGTTGTTTTCTCCCTGCCTGCCTCCTAATTAGCAGTAGTGCGACTATGTACTGCCATTGTCAAGTCAAGATTATTACCAGTGTGCGGTGTCACCTGGCATGCTGTGGCAAGCTGGTGGTGGCATCTATGGGCTTCCGCCCTACCCCTATTTTGGGCCGGGGCCAGTGGGAAATTAAGTCCTTGCTATGCCCTTGGTATCAGGTGGGATCTTCTGCAATGCATCAGTTGGTGTTTTTTTTTCTCGTTTTATTTTTTCAAGAGGGCGGCAGCCTTGAGGTATCCTCGTCGAACTGATCGGCCCCAGGTTAGTCAGAGTTATTCTACTCTTTTGATTCCCTCAGGACTGGAACTCAGGTCTGTTTATCAGCAGTTCATGGATGTACCATCCAGGCACATGGGCTTGGTATTTTTTTTTTTTTTTAGTAGTTAATTATGGACTGAGAACGGCGGCAAGAAGGGTGTTTAAGCGAGACAAGTTTGAGACAACTTGGTTGGTTGGTTGAATTCCACAGAGGAATTTGTTACTGCGTATTTTCTGTACTTAGTATTAGCGACCGAGTGGATGCTGCGACGCTCGCCTACATGGCGAAGGGCAAGATTTGAAACAAACAGGAGGGTCATCATCTTCCCGCGAACGTAACGCACCCTCATCAGTAGAGTACCGGACCGGAAACATGGCTTGTATTGCATTTATGATAAGGGTGCGTTGTGTTCGGGGGAAAGACGGTAAAAACATTTTCACTTCGGTGATGATGATGTGATCTTTTTTTCAGCCACGCGTAGCGAATCGCGAACTCCCCGAAAAAAAATCAGCTGCGTATTCATGTTTAGTTTCTGTTGCCGCACGGGTATTTCTTATTTTTCCTTCGTCGAGTGAAGCTGGTGCTCGGAATTGAAATGGTGTATATATGTTTTCTTCAGTTCCTGTAATGGGAATGCGCATCTTGTCGAACTGGGGGTTTAATTTTTTGACTAATGGATGAAGTTGACAGAGCATGGGCGTTTGCCACATTCTTTGCTGAACCGCCGCTCAACAAGACGATTGTCGGCACGCCCATTAGACGCCGTTCGTTTGCTGTTGAATTAATCATCGATCCCGCCTCGCAAACCCTAACGCTCTAAGCCCTAAATGATGCGGACTTAAGTATGTCCGTCCGTGTCCGGCGATTGGTCGTGGATGGTCGATTTGGGCGGGCCACTCTTTGTTGTAAATTCCCGAGAGCGCAGGAGGGGTATTTTGCCTGACAGCAGAAACCTTGAATGGGTGGTTTCCATTGGCAGCACGAGGAAAGTGGATGTGTTTACTGGTTCATCGGGAAACGTAGTTCCTCCAATGGGGGATGATTTCCATTTCGGGATTCTATATCTGGGATCCTAAAGTTTTTAGAATTGCAGTGATGGCCCTGTCAGCTTGTACGTGGATGGCTTTGCATTCCAGCAGAGAGGGTGGACCTGCTCGTGCTCATCCCGTACGCGGTAAGATAAACGATGGCACAGAGCATGGACCCTGACTTTGCCTACGTTCTGTCACAGTGGTTGTTCCTGAATGGGTGTGCATTCCGGCACAGAAGTGTCCCATCTAATAAGCGGCTACGGAAACCACGGCAAAGAGCATGGACCTGTGTCCCATTCCCGGACAGAGCGTGGACCTGACTGTGTCCCATGTACCATTCCCGGTCAGAGCATGGACCTAACTGTGTCCTATTCCCGGACAGAGCATGGACCTGACTGTCTCCCATTCCGGCACAGTGCACGGACCTGCCTGTGTCCCATCCACTGAGCGGTAAGGTAAACGACGGAACAGACCATGGACCTGACTGTGTCATATTCTCCGGTGCATTGTATGGTCCTGATGGTGTCCCATTGTGACCTGACCGTGTCCCATCCATTAAGGTAAGCCGTAACATAGACCACGGAACACAGCATGAACCTGACTGTGTCATATTCTCCGGTGCATTGTATGGGCCTGTGTGCAATTCCGGGACTGAGCATCTGGTAAGCGGTAGTAATGTAAATGATGGCATGCATGGAAATATCTCGAAGTGTTGATGCGTCTCTGTTTGAATGCAGGGAAGTTAAGAGGCAAGGGGTAGCAAATGTGATTGAAAATATCCATGGTTTGTTTGCGGCTGGAGGACAAGAGTACTAGCCCGCAGTGAGTGTGGAAATGCCGAGACTACTGTCTTGCCCCGGACACAACGCACCCTCATACTCACTGTATTGGAGTGGAAAGATGGTTTGCATACATTCATGATGAGCGTTTTTGTGTCTGGGGGAAGATGGTAGCCATGCCAGAAGAGTGCTGGCCTTCTGCATCGTCGCTGTACAGATCATGCGCCTATGCCTGTACCGTGTGGGTACATTCTTTCTTGCTGCTCTTCTCCCCCTTCCTTCCATCCTTCCTCCTTTGTCTCCCTCTTCCTCGCGAGATCTTCATTGGACTGACCCGCCCGAGATAATTCAGAATCTCTGCTCATTTGGTTTCGTGCCCGGGTCTGTGATTGAACAATTCATGGTGTGTGTGTACCACCTGAGCCAGGTCCGTTGGTGTGTGCCTACATTCAAGCGGTGTAGTGCTATCATTCCAGTACCCCGGCGAGCAAATAGCCATTCTTCTTTACGTCCCTTTCTGTTTTGGATTTTTTTTTTTTTTTGGAGTCGTATTTGTCACTTTGTGTGGCAGTTGCTGAGTCCATCTATTGGCGTGAACGACTCTCAATGAATGGCCTTTATCTGACGTTGGGCATAAGTAGGCTTGTCTTCCTCTCTGAGCCGTTATGCAAGTAAGGCAGCCTGTTTTTGTCTTCGTTCTTTGTTGAAGCTTTTGAAACAGTCGTGCGTACTTGGACCAGACTTGAAGGTCATGCTCGGCATGCATGCATGCAGCGATGGAATGGGTGAGGAGGCTGAGGACGAGGGTGAATTTTCTGACTTGATGTTTCCGTCGTGTGTTTTCATGTTCGTGACTATTGAACTCCTGAATTGTGCGAGTTATGGATGAAGGCAGGGATGGAATGGGTGGGATGAGGGTGAATTGTTCTGACTCGCTGTTTTCTGTCTTGTTTTTTCATGTTCGTGATTCGGTTGAACTCCTGAATTGTGCGTGCAGTCGAATTACTTGCGGAAGGTTTCAGCGTCGGTGATCATGAAAATAAAAGCTCGACAAATTTTGGACAGTCGTGGGAACCCGACGGTTGAGGTGGATGTTCACACAGGAAAGGGAATGTTTCGTGCTGCTGTCCCAAGTGGTGCATCCACTGGATCGTGAGTGCTGTCCTCTTCCAGTCCTCTCTCTCTTGATAATGCTCCTTTGTGACCTCCCCCTCCCCTTCCTCTCTCCCCCCCTCTACCTTCTGCCCGTTTTCTCACTGTTCCTTCTGCTGCTGCGTCTGCCCCGATCTCTATCTTGGAGGACAGCACACTGGCCACTGGAAGGAGGTGAACCATATAGTGATGAAACTTCTTCCTATTCTCCGGCCTGTCAGGTCCAGGCTCCTGATTTGGAGCGCCCATCTTGCTTTTCTTTCATTGCTCTTCCTCTCTCTCCTCAGTGTCAGTTCTAGAAGCAGCCCATGAGCAAAAAAAAAGCAGAAGCATCCGGTGAGAAAGACTGCGAATACAGAACGAAAAATAGTTTCAAAACTCCTTATCCCCTCCTACTTCCCTGTTCTTACCCTTGACTTTCGTCTTCGGAGCACCCGACCAGCCAAACTGCTGAGCCTAGAATATATTGTCTCTGTAATGGCCCTCCTCACCTTTGTGCACTTTCTACATTCTCCGCAGCTACTTCTTTTTTTTCTCTCTTCTTATTAAATTTGGACCATGCCTCTATTATGCGTCTCATTCTTGCGCAGGGGCCTTGCTAATCCTCTCTGTATCGTTCCATTTTAACGGAGCTACAATTTCTATCCCAGGAACTGGAAGCTGATTGCTAGAACTGACAACTCTTAAGGTTTACATTCCGTTCTTTATTTTCGGCGTGGCAAGTAGTTCTGGAGCATCAGAATGGATGGGCCAATTTTAAACTATAAGGCTAAGGATTCAACCATAAGTCGTCTTTGGAAAATAGAAATTTGATAGGATGGACAAAGGAGATTGGTGTAAAAATTATACGAGACTCAAGGATTCAGTAGGAAGCCGGGATAGGGAAGGATCTAGACTAAAAGAGTGTTAGTAGGTACAAAAATTGTATATTACATATACATGAATATACATATGAAATAGAATTCTTAATCTATCTTTTGTCTGGCTGGGTGCTGCTAGGAAGCCTCCCGACCAATAGAGGTATCCGTGGGGAGGCTATGGTATGGGAAGAGGGATCGGTTGTAGCAATCCCTCCCTTAGGCGTCTAGGGCCACAAGAGTAAGGCTTTCCTCTTTTCCTACAAATAATTTGTACTTTGGAACTCATGCTTGCCGGTGATAAGCAACCGGACTGATGCCCCCCAGAATAGAAGGGGCTGAGTTGTTTTGAAAAAATAAGAAATAAAAAAAGTAGAAATTTGTGTAGAATTGCAAGCAAACTGGCAGAGGCACCAACTGTTCGAGCTCCGTTGGTACACCGATGAACTGTTGAAACACAGACCTGAGTTCGAATCCAGCTGGAATCTGTTCACTAGAAATAACTCTGAATTACCTGGAGCTGGTCAGCTCAAAGATGAAACTGGCTGAGTTTCTCCTCAGTATTCCGTATTGAAATGAAGATTAGAAAGAAAATAAAAGTCGGACTAAGGCACACACCTATGAACCCCTTTAGAGAAGTTTAGACCCTTTCACCCCCTTTCAACCAGGCAATCAAATGGCGTCCGCAGGTGTGCTCGTCCTGCTGGAAGACAGGGGGCTTGTCAGGTTAAAGTTTATGGACGACGTGTCAAAAGTTGTCCGCATGGCATCATGGTTCTGCTCAATGTTGAATCTTTATTTTTATTTGGCACCTACTGTTGGGCAGCATTTCCACGCTGCTTGGTGCTGCACCGGCTGGATAGGCATGGCAGACCCACAGTTGGGGTTGAATAACAGATAAATTTTTGGGCCAATCAGACAAAAATTTAGAGAGGTGTCATAATTTAAAATAGAGATAGGAGTCTTTCGGGACACCCGTTAAATTTGGAACGATACAGAGAAGATTAGCATGGCCCCTGCGCAAGGATGACACACATTAATCGAGAAATGGTCCAAATTAAAAAAAAAAAAAAAAAATAGAGATAGGGGTCCTTCGGGACATCCGATAAAATCGGAACGATACAGAGAAGATTAGCATGGTCCCTGAACAATGATGACACACAAGTCGAGAAATGGTCCAAAATAACCAAAAAAAAAAGAAAAAAAAAGAGATAGCATGCACAGCCCTAACAATTTGTCAGCCGGGTGAGGAAGGTGTTGTCTGGGACAAAGATTATATTTGGTGTGTAATATACATAACGTGTAGGTATCATGTGGAGGAGGCTGTACGTCGAGGGAGGAGTTGCCACTGCTGGAAATGTTCTGAAATTCTTTCCATCCTGGATTTCTAGATACCAGTGTGGTCAGGTTGGGGAAGAATGCAAGCGTTTCTGAGGTTGCCTGGGCGACAAACCAGGCTGCCTCTGCTTGCTCCGGTGGCGCGGGCCAGTTCTGGGCAATGACCCAGACCAGAATTCCTCCTTTTTTCGTCTTCAGAATTTGGACCATTTCTCGATTTATGCGTGTAATTTTTGCGCAGGGCCCATGCTAACCTTCTGTGTCATTCCATTTGTAACGGCTGTCCGGAGGGACACCAGATCAGAATTCCTTGTTAAATAGGTAAGGAAATTTAGGCACACCCTTTTGAACCCTGCGGAACCCCTTTTCACCCCGGTACACCATTTGGAAGGGTTGTGCTTTGTATGGACAGTTGAGATGCAATGTTGATGAGTCAATACCATAACTCAGCAGCTTCACTGCATTCCATTGTTGACAGTTCTGTTTGGTGTTCTCGGGTCAAGGTACGAGGCGCTCGAGCTGAGAGATGGTGACCAGAGCATCTACCTTGGCAAAGGTGTGCTGAAGGCGGTCGCAAATATCAATGAGAAGATTGCACCGGTGCTTATTGGCAAGGATCCTACGCTACAGGAAGCATTGGATAAAGTGATGGTTTCTGAGTTGGATGGAACGGAAAATAAGGTACGTTTGTGGATCTGGCGTCCAGATTGCAACAGATAAATCTCCTGTCGTATCCATCTCTGCTTTGTTTAGATAAGTCTTGCAAGGGGTGTGTTTCTCTCTCCTTTCCTATGCATTTCTTTCTGTCGTTGCAGAAGGATGCAATTATGCCTCTTTTCCATGCTTCTTTTGCACATCTGTTTTTGTTTTCAAATCTGCGCAGTTTCATCCAATCTCAGAGGAGGAGGCCTTCTTTATTCTTTCACTGTTGTTTCTGACTTTTTCTCCCGTAAATGACCATAACTTGCGATGACTCCCACGTAATGAAGGCCATGTGGGTGCTGACGGTAAAATGTATGTGCGTCATGATACATAGCAGACTGGTGGCCGAAGGTGATGGCTAGTGGCCCGTGAGGTAGTGGCACCTCAAGTTATCTTTTATGAGGAAAGCATCGCATGTGCTGCGAACACCAGTGTGCATTTTCCAAGGGGCTACAACCAGAATGGGTTTTGAACTTTTGAGTCCTCTGATTGATTGATATGGAAAATGGCCACTGATGGATTGCCATCTTGATATGGTATGCACTGGTGGTGTACAATGTTGAAGATACCCAACCATGACTCAACAGATCCGAGGAAAAGGGAGACACATTCAAAGCGTGGAAAGACAATGACGGCAAAGCAAGGTGCTCACACATTATTAGGATAGAAGACACATATAAGAATGCAGTGACCAGAATTGTTGAAGAGAGGTGTGAGTAACGTGTTCTGTTTTCCTTTTGAAAAGGTATTTCCTCAGGAGATCTCATTTTCCCTTCCCATGGACATGAAGGTTGTTAATTATGTGTAATTGCTTTCTTCTCGTCCATGCAGGAAGTGCTTGGGGCAAATGCGATCCTGGCAGTGTCTATGGCAATAGCTAAGGCTGGAGCTGCTGAGAAAGAGGTATATTCCTCTCCTGCCACGCTTCTGCTCTCAAGAATAGTCACAGAAGTCTCTGCGTGTTTGCTTTCACATTTCCATAAGTTTGTCGTTTCGGCTGTCTGGCTATTGTGCATGCACTGCATGATTGTTGGAATTTTCTAATCTACCCCCCTGTTTCTTTATGGTCCCGGTAGATGTGTTAATAGGCACCAGAGGGTTCCTGTTGGATAGATGCTTGCACCCAGAGGTCCTCAACGGTCCAGAGTTGCAGAGAGGAAAATGGAAGGATTATCAAGGTTGGAGGACATGCGAAAACGTGGCGAGTCAGTGTGAAGACACTGGTGTATTTTGCGTGTTTATTTATAACCTTTCTTGTGCTCTGTTTGTGCTTGGCCTTCTTTTTCTAGGTTCCATTGTATCAGCACCTTGCTGATCTCGCCGGGAACAAAAGGTTGGTTTTACCCGTCCCAGCATTCAATATCCTTAATGGAGGAAGACATGCTGGGAATCAGCTTGCAATGCAGGTCAGTAGCCTCCTACGACAGAACTGGCCAGCATAACTGTGCCTACCCTCTTTATATGGGCATGCCTTTACCTCCTATTTCTCTTAGTGCCTCCTTTACTTGCTCACATCCCGTTTTTGCATGGTGTTTGCTCGCCGCTAAAACAAGTGTGAGAAGCTGCAAAATTTCCCCTGAGAAAATCTGATCATCACGACTCGACACAAAATAATCAATCTACCTATATACCTACCATCATATAGTTCACCGGCTGCAGGTGTCCCCTGTCTGCAGAGAGAGAGAGAGAGAGAGAAAGAGAGAGACCACCCACACTGTTTTCTGGCTGCAGAGGTTGTGCACTGTAATCTTTCTCCTCTCGCCACCACGCTGTTTTCTGCCTGGCTAGGTTGTGCATGTTCTCTCTCTCTCTGTGTTGGTCAGACTCTGCCTTTCTCTCCCTCTCTCTCTCCATACAAGCTATCTATCCCGGTCTCACTTTCCACCCACCCCCTCCACCACTCATCCTCCTGCCACTCTGTCTCTCGTTGTGTCCGTCTCTCACTTTGTCTCTCTGTCTCTCTCCCCCTCCCCTCCCCCTCCAGTCTCTATCTTTGAAGCCATTTTGTTGTTGGCGAGGTGGTGCATGTTGCTCTCTCTCTACCTCTCTCTCTGTATGCATTTCCTCTAGCCCCACACAGTCTCTAGCTGACTAGGTTCTGGACTCAAATCTCTCTCTCTCTCTCTCTCTCTCTCTCTCTTGTGCAAGCGGTCTCCTGGATTGCTAGGTTGTGGGCATCAATCTCTCTCCTCCCCCTCCCCCCCCCTCTCGCCCCTTAGCTGTCTCACTCTCTCTCTATCCTCCACACACGCATAACGTCTCTCTCTCTCTCTCCCTCTCTCTCTCTCTCTCTTCCCACCCCCCTCTTTCTCTCTCTC